ATTCACCTTTTTCTCCTTCAACCACTGTGTGCTCAGTTTTGCTGTATGCTTTGGGTTATTGTCATGTCTGAAGGTAAACCTTCTTCCCATAGACAACTTTTTGGCAGAGGGCAGCAGATTTTCCTCAAGAATTTGACGGTATTTTGCCCCATCAATTTTTCCTTCTATCCTCACAAGTGCTCCAGTCCCTGCTGCAGAGAAACACCCCTATAACAGGATATCACCACCTCCAGTGCTTGAAGTGGTCCAGCACTTCTATATTTTAGCCTTTAGAGTACCTGCACTTTTTTGTGCGTACCAGCACTTCTGACATGTTGACGGTACTCAGAGTAAAAGCGTCAGGGTCTGGGTGATTATATGATCCCATATATGATTAGAAAGGACACTATATAAATCCCACTACCCAGGATCACCTCTCATCTCGACCAATCACGTGAATGAATGCAAGCGGAGTGTGTGCGGCGCAAGAGCATGTCAGGGGAGGCGCGCAGAGTAGTAGAATTATAATTAATTATTGATTACTAATTTGAATCTGTACTTTATAACGAAAATAATATCTCAAAATTAAAAGAAGCAGGCTTTTGCGATCACATTTTAAACCGGTAAACTCCTGGAAAGTCCAATGATCCAGTAAACAAATTCAAACAGTAAGTTCAAAACAGTGCTAATGCAGAGAAAACACGGCCGATTTCATCAGCGATTGCGGAGAGAATAGTGACTTTCGTCCAGATGTCAGTAAAATTACTCTTTTCAGCGTGTATTTGGCTTAAAAGCAAGAGTGTTTTATAATGAACGCTGATTATGCGGTGGTCAGAGATTTAGCTATTCTGAATTGATCCGTATAGTAGTAAAGGCGATTTAGTGGTCTTTGGCGTCTCCCTGTGGTCTTGTTTGGTATCACAGCTTGACAGCTAATTTGTATTGAAAACTTTTATTTAATTATTGATTGATTGATTGTGGCACTATACATACATCGTGAATTATTAAAAAGTACTTATTTAATATAAATAATTAAATAAATAATTTTTTTTTATAAATAACCGGCACTTCTTTTTTTCCACTGATCACCTCCATGCTTTACTGTAGGAATGCTGTTATTTGGATGGTGAGCTGTATTGGATTTCCGCAAGACATATTGTTTGGTGTTGAGGCCAAATAATTTAATTTTAGTCTCATCTGCTTCAGAATCTTCAAGGTTTTGGCAAAGCTCAGTCGTGACTGAATGTGGCCATTCTTGAGGAATGGCTTTTTTCTTGCAACCCTCCCATACAAGCCACATTTGTGGAGAATTTGTGATATTGTCTATCCTGACAAGTGCTCCAGTCTCTGCTGCAGAGAAACACCCCCATAACAGGACATTACCACCTCCATGCTTTACTGTAGGAATGCTGTTATTTGGATGGTGAGCTGTATTGGATTTCCGCAAGACATATTGTTTGGTGTTGAGGCCAAATAATTTAATTTTAGTCTCATCTGCTTCAGAATCTTCAAGGTTTTGGCAAAGCTCAGTCGTGACTGAAAGTGGCCTTTCTTGTGGAGTGGCTTTTTTCTTGCAACCCTCCCATACAAGCCACATTTGTGGAGAATTTGTGATATTGTTGTCACATGCACGCAGTGACCACTCTTTGTCATAAATTCCTGTAACTGCTTCAGAGTTGCTGTAGGCCTCTTGGTAGCCTCTCTGAGCAGTTTCCTCCTGGCTCTTTCATCCAGTTTGGAGCGACGTCCTGATCCAGGGAGGGTCTGTGTTGTACCAAATACCTTCCACTTCTTAATAATAGACTTCAATTAGGCATTGATAAAGCATTTGAAATGTTTTTGTATCCATCTCCTGAC